TGCCGCTAGCAAAGGAGTTCGCGTGGCTGGAACAGTGCCCAATTCCGTTAGAAAATTCAAGAATCTGCGACAGAGGGATTTCGTGCTGGGAAGGTTGAACGCTTGATTCTGACCGCAGGAGATAAAATGTTTCGCATAATAGAAGAGAGAAGGGTGCTCCGCGTTGAGTGCCCACAATCAGAACTCATTAAACTCTGCCGTAACTCTAGGCGAAAGCTTTTCGTAACAGTCAGTTATGGAAGAAAAATGTTTAGGGTGGTTCAAAATACCCTGAGAGGATCAGCTTGCGTCGGCAGAATTGATGGAAATAATTGTTCAACCAGGACCCTCACTAGCAATGCTACAAACGTGGGAAAGGATGGGGAACTCTATTCAATTATGATCTGGCGAGTGTTCTCTGTTGTGAACCTTCCCCTCGCCCGCTGAGAAGGCATGGTGTGATGTTCGACTTCGGAGAGGCAGAGAAGAAAAGGATACTAGTTGTCCTAAAACGGCCTGCCACCTCCCTTGGGACTCATGTGTAGAACCCAGATCTGCTTGTTCGAGGAACTCATATTGAAGACATTGACAGCGATTATCCGATAGGTAGATCCATTTTGTATTCTGGCCCGCAGTCTCAGCGAAGTCTCCGTTTCAGGGCTCTCACTCTGGGTATCAAGCTGTGTCGCTCGCTTTTGTTGTCTTGTTCGCCTTCCGGTTCTATCATAATTTGTCTCCGGTCTCTAATCTACGCAACAGTGTCTCACTTCTTCGAACGCTTGTCTAATCTTGTGGGCTTGTGGCGTTCTGGTCATTCAATGTGTCTCTTAGCGAATTGATCCACTTTTTTCTCCATCAGCGCGTCAATTAGCATATATAGATCTACATTTGAACCCCAAAACTTAACATCTACGGAGTGTAATCGCGTGTCTTTATTTTCAACGTCAGGTAACTTGGTAGCTTTTTATCAGGTTGACATTTCAACTTGATTTTTCTTTTATATAACATAACAATGAATCAACAATATAGTCACCGTCATTTGCAATAACATTGCTCCACTTAAAGGCAGCGCCCACGTTCACTTGATGTTCCTACGCCCTTTCTGGATATCATAGCCCTCCCCATAAGGATGCAGTATGTACTAGTTTTGCATCTCACAAAGGCGAGAGGATAGCGCCTATCGCTAGTAAAGAGTCGACCGCCCCGCCCACCTGGCGACCACGACGCCCAACTTCATTTCTAATGGTTGCCTGATGGTGCGGTTGTTCCATTGCTGCTTCTCTCCACGTCGAGTGGTGAGAGTGAGGTGATAAGGGAAACAGCTGAAATCAACAAGTGAGAACTCGTGCAACCACTCCTTCTCTTCGCCTTAAGCACGTACAACCGCTATTCGGTATGAAACTCCTTATAGGGCATTTTGCATGTTTTCTTTTTGATTTTTCTTCACTAATAGGTTTCTTGCTACCTTGCTATTACTACCTGAGCCGCATACTCATCAAATTTGAACGCGGGCGCTGCCTTTAATAGGCATACATATCAGTGATCCCCTCTCCCAGAATGCTGGAGTCTGGGAGTCGAAGAACTCGGTGACTGCCGAAATTACATCATCATATTTAACAAAAGTTTTCTTAGACAAGAAAGCTTTGAGCGGTCTGAACAAATGATAGGCGTCGAAGCGACATGAGGCCGAGCGTTGTCATGGGGAAGGTGGACGGTAGCTCTTCTTGGGCGCTTTTCTTTCACAGCATCCGCCAATTTCTGGAGCTGATCAGCATACACGGTAGCGGTGATAGTCCTGCCCTGCGGTAGCAACTCGTAGTAAAGCATTCCTTTGGAATCCCAGAAACACGAGAGCATAACTTTTTTGGGTGGAGGTCGGACTTCGGCTGCGTTGGCGGTTCTTCACCGCGCGGAAGCCAAACAGCACGATGGGCGTTGGCTGGAGATCAACTCACATCTCCAGTAATCAGGACCTCAAAAAACTTCTTGCAATGCGGCTGGAACAGACCAGATTGAAGGGCAACTGATGTACCCATTTCAAAAGGTTTCGGCATCCAAGACAGGGCACGCGTTGTGAACATTTTCTGAAAATTACGGCCCCTCTAATCCCATACTAAAATACGATCCCCTTTTTGGGAGTTGGTACGATTCCCCCCCCCCAGCCCCCTGTCCTTCCCCATCGAACCGGGCCGGCGAGCGGGGGGGGGGGTCGTCA